CTTCCTCCCTCCCTCCCTCCCTCCCTTCCTTTCTTCCTTTCTTTTAATGCTTTTATTGATTTTTAGAGAGAAGAAGAAAGACAGAGAGAAAGAAACATTGATGAGAGAGAAACATCTATCGGCTGCCTCCTGCACGCCCCCTACTGGGGATCCAGACCGCAACCTGTGAATGTGCCCTGACTGGGAATCCAACCTGTGACCTCTTGACACATGGGACAATGCTGCCAACTGAACCACACTGGCTGGGCGGTGCAGTCAACTTTTATTCTTGACCCCTGAAGGTTTTCTTTACTTTCTTGGAACACTCAGCTACGCATTTGTAATGATTTACATAGCTTTTTTACATGTTTTATATTGCCAGATTTATCTTGTCCACAATTTATCTAAAATAAATTTCCCTTGACAATCTCACCATGAAGATGAAGACAAGCAATAAATAGATGAGATTATAAAGAAAGTTCAGTAAAGAAACAGCTTAATTAGTTATCATCATGGGTAACCCAAACCTGAGTGATTTATCATGGGATGAGTAGCCCAAAGCTCTTTTATTTTTGGGGCATCTTAGCTACAGCTTGTGCAAAAGACTATCAAGGAACACGATGGTTGGTACTCAGTTGGGAAACTGCATACTATTATTCAGTTTACTAGAGATTCTTACTGTTTGACCTCAGTAAGGATCGTTGCCACTGGGCAATCCATTATTTATCTCTTACTGATCTTACTGATTCATCATAATTTTCTGTTTTGTGGCTATGGAATTGAAGCCCCCGTACTCATTCTGACTCTTCTCTCTCAACACCCGCAGCTCGTGATTTTTGTGTGGCCTCAGTCAAAAACCTCTACTTTCTTTTAAATTCATTTTAAAATGTAACACTTATAAAACTTAAAAAGATGTGAAACCAGTGGAAATTCTGCACTGGGTATCTTTGTAAAGAAATCATTGTCAGTTCTAGATTGCCTGGCAAAGAACTATAATAAAGTAGAGGTTATGTAATACATTTTCAAGGGGTGAGGACTTATAGAAACCACAAAGAACTAAAGTGACAAGAATCCTGGCAGCAAAGGCTTTGCAGAGCTTGATATGCATCAACATTCTGGGAAATGAGGGCCTCAGGGAGCAGTGATCTGCAGATTTATTTACCTGGCTGGTGATGTTAGAAAGAATACCATTTCTGCTGAGCCAGATCCTGGCTGGGGAAAAACAAATGTCCTGCATACATTGTGGCAAAGGCTTCATTGCTTTGAACACTCACTACCCTGACCTGGGGAAGCCATTGTTTAAGGCAAGATACTTGGTCTTTCTGCTAAGTATCCACCACTTGATGGAAGTTTCTTTGAGAAAAAAAATCCAATTTATACTGTACAGTAAAGAATCTTATACCTAGAGTGTCATTTATTTAATTAAAGAAATATGATTGTGTAAAAGTGACAACGTCATGGGTGTTGTTTCACATCTTTCATCATCTCAACTACAGAGAAGACTATCTCATGTAAAAGAAAAACACCTGAGTGACTTGAATTTGGATGTAGAACAAACCTTGTGTCTCTGTACATCTAATGCTTTTCTTTACAGAGAGGAAAGAAACAGCTTGAGGTGAATATAAAATAGCACTACCTTCACTCGAATGTTTTGACCGAGTTGTCAGGGAAAACAACGCCTAGGGTAAGGGCTTGGTTGCAGTAATTAATGATGGCTTAATTAATGATNACATCTAATGCTTTTCTTTACAGAGAGGAAAGAAACAGCTTGAGGTGAATGAGGTGAATATAAAATAGCACTACCTTCACTCGAATGTTTTGACTGAGTTGTCAGGGAAAACAACGCCTAGGGTAAGGGCTTGGTTGCAGTAATTAATGATGGCCTATCACAAGGACAGAAAAATGTAGGAGTAGGAAATATGCATTTTTATTCTGTATCTTTTTAAAAGAAACAGTATGAAACTAGACAAAGAATAATGATGGAGTGTCTATAGTAGAGTTCTAAAGGATGAATTAGGAAAGATATACAAGTTACACTGATCACACTTTCAAAGGAACCCATCTTTACAAGAATAAGACACTTAGAAAACATGATTGATTCCTTTAATTACTTTTTCTTGTTTGTTTTTTAGGAAATGAACCGTTGTTTAGAAATAGCTGTTGTGTTGGTCAAATGATTCAGTTCTAAAATCAATTGATATGTATATCAATAAGGTAAATGCCAGATGGCATCACCGCAATTGTTTTATTAACAAATTATGGCATAATCAATTTTTATGAATGGGACTGGGACTTTTAAATTTTTATTTATGTATTAAAATTAGAGGAAAATGAATTCAGGACATTTTCCGTCTTGACTCCACCTTTAAACAAAGGTAGTTCAATCAATGTCCCTTTTGTACAAGTTTAGGGTTACAGGATTCAAGGATTATAAAGATAAGTCAGTGCTGCTGTTACAAGGATGGTTATTATGACTGCAGTCCAAAGCAGAGTAAAGGAAGTGGTGTGGGCTTCAAGGAGAAGTGGTATCATTTGATTGAGAGAACAAGGTAGTTTTTAAGAGAGAATAGATCCCACTAAACATCGATTGGATAAATAAGGAAGTTAATGAGAATATAAATGTCAAGAACACTACTAAGATCAATTTGAGACTTGAAAATGAATCAAGTTTGGTCTTCAATCCAGATTTTATGTTAATCCTTTATGTATCATTGGTTCATGCAGCACTTAGGGGTCTTTTGAGATAAGAGCTCATATATATTACCTGAAATTATTATTATGAAGTTGTGATTGTTATATTGAGCCCCATCTTCAAGCTAAAGACCTGCAATGGCACACTTGAGTGTGAATAGGAATGATTTTAGTTTCCCTCTTAACTAGATTTTATAAATCAGCTGGAAATTCCTCTCCCAGTTATCAAGTTCCAGAAAATTCAACGACATGGAGCAAAAGCACAACCTA